GAACTCTTGATATAACGAATTTTTTGAACAAATATAATAAAAATACTCTTGTTATAGTGAATTGGCCAATTAAATCTTAAAATCTTCACTATATCCTTATAGCGAAATTGAAGTCTAGGACATAGAGTTCATTTTAATAAGAGTTAACTGTAATGCTAAATTTTAAAATTATTAAAAATAGGAGAACTTTAAATTATTTAGCATAATAATCTCTTTTATAAGCTAATATCTAAAAAACTTAAAATTGTAAAGATTTAGATTAACTACTTAAAAAAATATTATACTTAACTTAATATATATTGCAAAAGTCTTAATATATGATAATTATTGATATTAATAAATTTTAGATAGTATAATCAACAGATAATACATGAATTTTCTATTTGGCTAATGAAAACTAAAGATCAAAAAACTAATATATCTTTATAAATAAACTTATAATTCTTTAATAATATAAGAAAAGTATATAATTGATTCTTTTTTTTTAAAATCAATAAATCTTAAAATAGATGTAGATTATTTTTTAGAAATATTGAAAATCATAATTACTTAAACAATATCATTGCAAGTTCTTACAGTTATTCACAATGATAACATGTATAAATTTTAAAGAACTTTACAAAAACTTATTCAAAAAATTATATTATTAATTATATATTTGTGATAATTAAATAAATAATAGAGAAAATAAAATAAACTAGAAAATGAAAAGAAAATCTATAAGAGTTCAATTCTGAATTTTTTTGAAATTTATTTTAAAATAATAATTTATTGTAAAAGAACATTCTTAATATGAAAATTAGTTCTTATAAAGAATATGATAATAAAGAATTTATCTTATTTATAATTATTAAAAAATAAAGATTTAAGATTATAAAAGAAAATAAGTTTATTTATTAAAATAATTTATGAATTACAATTATTTACATTCTTTTTAATTATTTTAGATTTATAGTTTAAAATATACTTTGATTTATTGATTATAATTAATAATGTTGATTCTTATTTTCTCAAAGTAAAGTTTTTTTACTTATTTCAAAACTACTCTTATTTATATCTTAATCATTTTTTTTTCTTTTTTTTTTTGCTTTTTACCTACTATTTTTATATCTTTTTTTCCATTTTTTCTTTTTTTTCTTCCTTTTATTTTATGTATTTTTATTATTCTTAGAATAACTTTTTTTTACAACAGATTACTAAACATTATCAAATTTATTATAAATTGAATTTATTTTATAACTATTTATTTTTAATTATAAATTATAAAAGATTTAACTTTTATATTTTATTTATTTATTATATTTTTTTAATTTTTATAATAAATTTTTTAATATATATAAAATTTTATAAATATCAAATAATTTAGTAATCAAAAAAATTTATATCTTTTATGCTAAAGTATTTATTCTTATTATTTAATAAATTTTGTAAAATGAGTATGTTTTAAACTTTTATATTTATCATTTTTATTATATATTTTTTTGAATCAATTTATTATATTAGATTTATTAAAAATAAATTAAGTTAAAAAAATTTTTTTTTAAAATCATAAAAAAGTTATTAATAAAAAATAATAATAAAGTTCTTTAATCTTTAATCTATATCTAATGAATAAGTTAAGATTTTTATATAATTTTAAATTAATTTTTAAGTTTATATTTTTACAATTTTTTAAATAATAAATAGTTTTTTTTTTGATATTAAGATATTCTTGTTATCTTCAAAGATTTTTAACATATAATATTTTTTATAATTTTTTAAAATTCGAAATAAATTTAATATTAAAAATAACTTGTGATATTAGAAGGAAGAAACATTATTTTAATTTAGTTAAAGCTAAGTAATATTTGGGATGGCATTCTTTTTAATCTTTTACTATTATAACTATTTAAAGTCTAATTTTACATCTCATAAAACCTGATTTTCTTTTATAGAAGTGAATTTAAAAAGACGTTTTTCCTATTAAAAAGAGTAAAAATTTTATTGAAGTTTTTATTAATTTATTTTAAAAATCATTTTAAAAGGAATTGCTTTTAAAATATTTATTTTAATTAGAACAATTTTTTTTTTTATAAGAAACATTTCAGAAATAATTAAAATGATATATAATACAGTGATTAAATTTGGTTTTCGTCTTTATTTATTTTTGTCAGCAAAAAAAATAAATATTAAGGCTTGAAAGTTTAATTATATTACTAAATTAATAGTAAATAAAGAGGAGTTTTAATTCTCAAATTTTAGATAAATGAAGAGAGGTCAGCTTCGGATTCGCGGTTTCACATCTTTCTTTGATATTGGCTGCGCATCTATAAAAATGCAATTAATATTCTACAAATATTAGTATTTTGGCCAAAGTGCTTAAGGTAATTAATTGATTTGAGTCTGACCCTCGGATTAACTATTCTTCTTGAGCAGAAAGAACAATGAGGTTGAATATAATGTTCATTTTGAAAATATGTGGTACATTTGAATAATTTATCGATCAGGATTATGTAACTATGGGCTTATTATTAATATGACACAACTAGCAAAATTTATTTTTAGATTTTCGTTTGTTTTTCCATTGACAAGGCGAGTATGAAATATGTAATAGTTTTTTCACAGGATGCCAAGACGAAAAATGGTACCCGTGAAATAACTATATTTAGCAAACCCAAAGTATTCAGCATCCGTGACCGTTGTTTAGAAAAGAGGATTCATCTTCTTGACGCGGTACTGCCTCTCTGTAATCTGACTTCACAATTATGTCTAGAATACTGGTAAAAGTGCTTTCTACATTTTATTGCACAAAATATTTTCTAATTTAAAACCGATCCTTATTACTTTAAGGGAAGACTCAATCTAAGGTCCAAATTTTATATATTGAAGTAGTGTATTAGATCTTGTTGACTTTTTTTAATTATTAAAGGTAAAAGAAAAAAAAAATCTAAAAGCAAATATTATTGTCTTTTATATACACAAATAAAAACTAGAAAACGGAAACCGTGATATATATGTGTCACAAAGTGTCACCAAAGTGTTACAAACCAAAAAAGGAAATTACAAGGGTAGATGGATGGAACCAAAATTTCTTATGGTGAGTAACTGGATTTAGACCCCAGATAACTCTTTAGCTTTGACTTTCAAAATCTCATCAATGTCTGATACGAATTTCTCTATAAGCGATTCAAGCTAAAGAAGGAATAAAATGAAATAGATAATTGTATCAACAATTCATAGCAAACTCAAAAAAAAAATGAAATGATAAAATATTTACTTTTTTATTTAATATTCTTGATTCATCACTTGATAATCCATTCTTACTATCATGCTTTAGATCTTTCATACCATCTTGCCTTACTAGCCTAATCTTAATTTTTGCATTCTCAGCCAACTTTGATGCGACTTTAGTCATCTTCTCACGATATTCTGTTGTGATTCTAAACACGGAAAAGGTGAGTCAATCACGTGTAATAATGAGTTTGCTTTGATCAAGTTAATTTAATGCTTACTTGGGTATCGGCACTTTAATATGTTTACCTTCAATCATGGGATTTAAATTTAAATTGGAACCTCTTATGGATTTATCTACTGCTTTTATTAACTAGAGAATGAGAATAATAATAAGATATTTGTTGAGTTTGATCTAGATTTAAAGTCATAATATTTTCTCATATGGCTCCATACTTCTTCTTCATGTACATGTACTATCAAGGTTTGAGGATCTTTAACAATGACTTGTGCAATATCTTTAAGAGGTGCGCTGTTGCCTTTAAAAGGTACTATTACGGGATCAAGAATGGCTAAATAGACATTTTTTTTTTTTATTATAAAGTTAAGGTAAATTAATCATTTGAATGAATTTCGCTCAAAGGAAACATAACATACCTGGGTTCGCACGACCGATCCTAATAGAACTATATTCCTTTTTTAATTTTTCAATAACCGCGTTTACTTTAGTTTCAACTTTATTTAAGTCAAAATCTCTATTTTTTATATTAATGACCTCCTCCACTTCTTCGTCTTCGTCTTTAACATAATTCTTGCCTTTTTTACCACCTTTCCCACCTACTTTTTTCTTTGAAGACTGCAGTATTCGTTGACTAGTGAAGAAACTGTGAGAAAGTGGTTGTACGGTCACAGTAATATTGTTTGTAAGTAGCCCATTCAAATTATAAAATTTTGAAGTTAAAATTCTGCAGTTAGGTATTAAAGAATTTCTCGGTCTAACGTTGGAAAGAATTCGCCAAGTAATTGATATGAATTTTCTAGACATGTTTGCGATAAAAAAAATTTTTTTTTTAAAACCCGACAATTATAATCAGTAGTACATGAACAATGATGGTGTAACATCATTACGTAAATTTTAAGGGATAATGAACATAGTAAAAAAACGCTTTAATTAGACTCTGTCTTTGACGGCCAAATTTGTTGTTTTATTTAGTCTACTTTCTGTTTTATAAACATGGGAGGAGGAGAAGAACCTTCACGAGAAGAAATTCATGATGGTTCTACGACCAATCAAGAAGAAAACACAAACGCGCAACAAAATGTGGAGTCTAGTCCAAATCTTCCCGAGAAGCCAGTTAATGCGGAAGAGGATAGTTCAAAGGAAACGAAAAAAATACTTGATGAAAAGTCAAATGAAAATACAGAAGGAACCAATGTAGAACAAGCACAACCTGAAATAGTTGATAATGCACAAGCTGTAAGTGCACCAGTTACCGAAACCACTTCCGTTGTTAATCCATCACCGGGTCCCGTGGAAGCTCCTAAACCAGAAGATACTGCTAATAAGGATGCGGCACACGAAGATCAAGTTAAATTTCAACAGAATTTGGAATATGAGATATCCATTAAAAAAGAAGAGGCCGAAAGAACACCGCTCGTTTGCATATCAGAGGACATTCAAAAGTTATATCAAGAATATGAACAGGGTAGTGACGTTTATCGGAATAAAATTATGGTTTGTTTTTTTTTTTTTGTACTATTTATCATCAACAAACCATCATGTGAGAATGATGGTTCAAAGAAATTCATATTTACAATTAATAATGGTAGAAATTGGCAGAGAGACATAATAAGATAAGACGTTGTCGTGGTGATGGTAACTGCTTTTATAGGGGTAACTATTCCTAATGACTAACTTTTAGCAATTCATTTCCAAGAAACCGTGAATTAATACTATAGTGTTGTTATCATGTATCATGTAGCCTTTGGGTTTGCATGGTTCGAACGAATTTTGCTTTCCAATAATTTAACTATTCTTCGAACGGCTCTCGATTCTTTGATTGCAACAAAGACTTTGCTTAAATCATCTGGGTATCAACCGTTGGTTTATGATGATATTTACGATGTCGTTGAAGAACAGATGAAAGCCATCGAGCGTGGTGAACGTGACGACTCTATGTTATTGGCAATCTTTCAAACCGATGATATTTCTAATCATATAGTCTGGTATCTTCGTGTAATTACTGCGGCCTATTTAAAAAAGTATCGTCAAGAATATGAACCTTTCCTGGAATTTGAAACTGAAATGGATCAGTATTGTAGTAAGTATGTAGAGGTCATGGATCAGGAAGCTGATCATATTCACGTCATTGCATTGACTAAGGCTTTGAACGTTCCTGTTGAAATCGCGTATATGAGTGGATCTGACACGATGGAACAAGTTAATTTTCATGAGTTTTATCCTGATAACGAACCCGCAGGAGGAAATATCACTTTAAAACCTTTGGTGTTGTTATATCGCCCTGGACATTACGATATTCTTTATCGAAAAGAATGAAATTGAATTTTTACTTTTTTTTTTTTTTAAAAAAAAAAAAAATGATGAGGAATGTTGCTATTAAAAAATGTATTTATTGTATTAATAATTTCAATTAATCTCTACAACTATTTTTTCATAGTCTTATTTATTTCAATATGCAAAATCTGCCTTATTATTATTGTATTAAGATTATTTGTTCAAAAACTTTTCTCTTTTCCTTTTGTAACGAAATTTAAATGTAAGATTGATAATCAAAGGTTAATCGTAAGGATTGCAATAATTCACCTTGTAGCAAAATAATAATATTTTTTTTTTTTATTACATTTACTTGAACTCTATTATCATTTGAATATGTTACTTACATACATGTCTTTAAAAATAAATCATACATACAATATCAATACTTGTAATAAATATCCCAAGTAAATTCCTCTTCTATCAACCTTTTTAGTGCGTTACTTTACAATTAAATTCTCGCAGAAAATTCATGCAAGCAAATCTATCAAAATTATTACTTTACGCTAATAAAAATTATACGCGTAAATTTTATCAAAATTTTTACCATTATTAAGTTATATAAGCTCTTCCCAATGTTATTATCAAAGACAATAATAATTTCTTTTTTGTGCCATAAAATGCCTTTTTTTTTTTTTTTTAACCAAATTTATCGTTCATCAATCCTCGATCGCTGACATTCTTAAATCAGTCTCTTTTTAAATAAATTGACTCGTCCAAAAATAATTAATAATTCTATGCTAAAGCTTCTTAAATTATTAATATTTGGTATCTTTTTGTTTTTTCTCTTCAATGCCTTTCCTTATGATCAATGATTGGATTTTAATTCCATCGATGAGACGAAGAAAAGAAATCGTACAATGTTAATATAGGTTGAGACGAAGGTCGTGATCTACCTCGTCCTCTCTCTCTGTCACGACCTCTAACTCTACCATTTCTATTATTAGAAAATCTAGGCGCTCTGCAGGCTTCTAGATGACTATTAATCCGCATTCTTGTTGGGTTGTTAAAATATCGGCCACATATTGGACAGTCCCAAGATTGTCTCATTCGCCGTTCAAAGTTATCATTGTCTAACGTTGCAAGATCGAAATTATGAAATTCAGCATTATTATGGGCTGTACTTGTATTCTCAACGCGTATTTGATTATCATTAACCTGAGTTTGAGATTGATTTGATTCTTGATCACAGCAATCACAATTCTTATTTGGTGTCAATAATTCAGAAGACTTATCGTCCTCTTCTGAATTCCATAACTTCCGTTTCCTTGGATTAGTCCTAACGTTCGATTCATTTTCATTTTCATCATTTCCTTTGGAGGAGCTCGCCTCTTTTTCAGTCCGTGGTTGAATTTGTTCCTGTTCATGAACATTATTCTTGTTATTTGGTGTCAATGGTTCATAAATAGTTGATAAACTAGTCTTATCTTCATCAGAATTACTTAATACTCGCTTCCTTGAGTTAGGCTTGACCTTTGACTCAATAAAGTTCTCATCAGGTTTAATAAAAACATTTTCGGAATCATTCGGAATTGAAGTTTTACCTAATAATTCCGTGGTTGTAGCGAAATCTGGATCGATGTCATCAAGAATAGATGGCGATTGTGTTTGAATCTCGGCTGTTAAGTTATCACTGCTCAGATTTGTATTCTGGGTCTTAGGAGATACATTAATATCTTGCAAATTAATGTGTTGAGACACGCATGTAGGAGAAATGTAATTCTGTATTACATGACAATGTTGAGATTCCGATGTAGATTGCCCTTTTGGCTTTCGTGAACTATTATCTTGACACACAACAATATCTATCTTTCGTTGATGCATGTATTGGGGAAACTCACCAAGTTGCGAAATATTATGTAACAGTTCTGATGCTCGAGAAATGTTACATCTTGGCGGACTTGTTTCCCGAGACCCTGATACTGGATAAATATTTTCTTGTTGCAAACTTTGCTCATTATGACTCGACTCACCTTCATTTTTTGGTTCACTTGAATCCTGAGCAGGACTTGTAATAGAGCTTAAAGGCATACCTGTATGATTTGATATTGATGGTTCATCAATGATCTGGTTGACAAAACTAACATCTTTTCTATTATCAACATCTTCAACCGCAAAATATTTCCTAACACCAAAAACATTAGACGTATCCTTATCACGAATATTCGCGATTCGAATACCCAAGAGACGGAGAGATATTGGAATTTCTTTATCTAAGATAGCTCTACTATAACTATACAGGTCATGCCGAGAGCTTATATACCTGGTGAGAATTTTCTGCCGCGTGAACTGAACGAATGATTGCTTCTTGAAGACAACCGATAGCGTTTTTCCTTCCATATTCTCCTGATCGAGTCTTCGTGCCAATTCTTCTGCAATATAACGCAAAGTTTTATAAAACGAACTCACTTTATTGGTAGGAGTGAAGGTCCTAGAAGTACTCATACTCTTTCGAGTATGATTCGTATTTATTGCACTTGACCCAATACCTAAGGAAATTCGCATGTAAAAATTAAAAGAAATTTCGGAGAACATCATATTGACATATACGAGTTTATCCAACAGATCTCCGCATGTGTGAATATCAAGGACACCGTTTAGAATCTTCGCAGATACTTTCCCTACACCACAAATCTTCCTTACAGGAAGATCGCGAAGAAAATCAAGAATTTTATCTTTATTATTATCAAGCCTGAATTGGCCATTAGGTTTATTTACTTCCGCGCACACCTTTGCTAATAACTTATTAGCGGCGATACCAGCACTGGCAGTTAGCTTCGTTTCACCGCGTATCTCGTCTCTTATCTGCTGTACCACATCATCCGGAGACTGATTGTGACTTTGGGCATAATTTGTTACATCCAGAAATGCTTCGTCAAGGCTCATTGCACTGAAGTTTGGGTCGTATCTTGCAAAAATCGTCCTAATTTGTTGTGATACAGCCGTATACTTTTCAAAGTTTGGTTTTACAATTTTTATATGTGGGCAGAGTGCCCTCGCGAAATATCCAGGCATACCGCTCCTCACACCAAATTTTCTTGCTGTGTAGTTTGCTGTACATAGCATTGCTGAATCTCCTACACCCATTGGTTTGTCAACCAAGGTTGGGTCATCTCTTTCTTCGACGGATGCATAATATGCATCCATATCCACGCAAACGATATACTTGCTAAGATCACGATCCTCTTCAACTTTGTTAATACAGTGTTCAACACGTGACTTCACGAAGGTCAAATCTTGCGCCTGAAGGCGTTCGAAGATCCGGCGCTGTTCCTCGATCTTTTCTTGTAGTTCGGCATCTTTTTTGGCCTTTAATTGGCCAAATCGTGAGCTTTCTTCTAACTTTTTTAAAATTTTATTTACCTTTACCTGATCAACACCGTCAAACCCAGCTTTATGGGTAATTAGTTCATTACGGTTTTCTTCAGGGCAAGGTTTTATGGTTTCCTGGGACGCGTCATATGCACTATTACTGTCAACTGTGTAAGTTTCCGTGTTATCATCGTTGTCATTGTCTAAAAGAAAACCAAAGGCGTCGTCTTCTTCCCCGAGATCGAAGCCAAAGTTCTCGTCGCTTTCTTCTTTATCCATTATGTAAGTTGACCTAACACCCTTTACAGAGAGTTTAGTGGAATATCTCTTTTTGATTCTTTTGTAATCGGTGTAATGAAACACCTGCTACAATAGAGAAAAGAAAAGTGTTGTCTGTGACGCTTATGAGTTCCAGGAACCTTCCTGAAGTTTTCTTTGTTTGTGAATTATTTGTAAACACTCCCGTGTAAATAGGAAGTGCAACGAGTTTTATGAAATAAAGGGTCTCTTGTTTTAGTTATTGTGAGAATTAGAGCGCGTTTTACTGTTCCTGCAGGGAAAGTGTTTGAATTGAATCTAATTTAATCAACTCTACTTATCACGTGTAACATGTCTTTCTTTTTTTGGTAAAATCCCGTTATTATCACTAATCAAAATTTCGAGAGAAGCCGAGAAATTAAGTTGGGCGGAAGAGAACATCAAGCACCGAGAAATACTTCTTTTTAGTTTTCGTAGGTGAATAAGTACATATTTCAAAGAGTTACCAAGTAAAACATATATTGTAATAAAAATGTATGAGAACTTATATTACACAAAAAAAAATTTCCAATCTGATCTAATTAAAATAACAAAAAAAAATCAATTTGCCAATTTAATTTTTTATCGAGCTCTTTCGGAGCGTTAAATACCATTACAATTTTATAATTCTGGCAATTGTACACCTCGGACCTTCAATTTTTTGATTTCAACTCCAGCTGCAAGTTTAAAGTGTATAAGCCTCCCAATTCTTCTTCTTTGATATTTAGACGTTGACGAAATCGGTAATGTACCCAACTTCTTGTTTTTCAAGGGATAATAACGTCAAATTTGTGAATAAAGAGTGCAATTTTCTTTCTATGAATTTCATTACAAATGCACCTTACGCTATGATGATGATATGATTAATTTAATCGATTTTTGAGATAAGATCATCCATATGCTAACAATCCACTTTACGAATACCATGTGAATGTATAAAAAATTTCCTTAATTTGATATTTTTAAAAAATGAATGCTAAATAAGTTTCGTTGTAAAGGAAATTTTCTTCATGCTAGGTAAAGAGTTAAATTGGCAACAATTTTTTAATCTTTTTTTATGTGAAGATTTGCATCAACAAGGTTATTAATTCTGCAATCTTTTGCCTTTCAGCATTATTAAGAATGCTATTACTGAGCGAAGCCACATCGCAAGATTCAGTAGCAGCACTATAAAAATGAAAAAGCATTATCATTATAATAGACGAAGCCAATTTGCGAAAATTGCTGTGTCTTGCTTATTGAAGATCAGTTCTTGACATTTCTGTTAGATTTGTGACAACAGACCATTTCAGCTTTTAATTAATTGATTCGTGTTCACATAGCCCTGATCAATTGAAGACTTAATCGATATTTTCTAGATAGGTTTCTGTATTGCCTTAAATCTTGTTATTAAACCAAAAAATCGTTCAATTATTTTGATCAAACATAAAGTCACATGATCGGTTGATCTCATAAGCATAATTCATTTTTCAGATTTAATATTGATATAGTAAGAATTTAGGATTTGTCAATATTTTCATATTATTATCGGCCTTTTGGACCATTGGACCATTGGACTACTGGACTTAGTCCATTCAAATTCCATTAAAATTTGGACTATTGGACTATAGATTTCGGTCCAACAGCTATAAATTTATATTTCTACGCAGTATGACTCAATATGTCCGGCTCAATAATTGAGTCGATGGCTGATTGGCTTTTGCAATTTTTTTTTTAGTTAAGATCGTTCCGGGTATAAAATTTATATTGAATTTTTTAAATAATTAGGTTCCCTTAAACTCTCAATAAAAATATCGAAGTTTCCATTTAGAATTTGATCTCAAGCATGAAGAGATAAATTTGAAATCCAGATCAGTCAGTAGAATCATTCTAGTTAAATGATTTTAAGTTAGATTAACATTATAAATTGGTTAAAGTTATAGTATATAAAATTATAATTTGGCTAAAATTATAAAATGTGATATTTCCATTAGATTTAAAGTCTAATAGTCCATTATGAGAAATTAGATAAGATCTAATTCTAATATTGATTATCCTTTCTTATATAAACATTTTTCATCAAACAGGTTTTATTCAATAATAAAAAGCAGTTAGATGTTTAAATATATCACTATTATTTTTTAAAAGTATTTTAATTTTATCAAAACTAGAATATTTTTTAAATAAATAAAATAAATGTGATGAATCTTATTTATTTAAATATTTTATTTTTCTCAATATCATTAAATTAAATTAATCAAATTATTATTATTAAAAATAATTATTATGATTACTTTTAAATTATAACTTAATTATATCATAAGTAAATTTAATTGTATCACAAATTGTAACTTAATTGCATCTTTTGGTTGCTATATTTTTTGAGTTTTATAAGGCTTAAAGGTTTTGAAATAAGTTTAATATATTATATTAAAATTGTAATAATTAATATTATTTGTTTTTTTTATAAATATTTTTAAGTATTAGATTGTTTTAAAAATAAAATTTTATTTTTTTTTATTATTTAAAGAATTTGAAATAATTTTAATATAATTATCTTATTAATATTATATATTCTTATTATATAATAATAATGTAAAAATAATACAATAATATTAATTAATTTATTATTTTTATATTATTATGATATATCAATATATAATAAAATTTTAATATTTTAAATATAATTGTATGATTTATTTAAAGTTTCAAATCAGATTAGATTAATCTGTTTACTTAAACTAAATTTAAGTTAGATTAATATTAATATTATAATTTGACCTAATTTAATAAAATTTAGGTCAACTAATTATTCTTTTTAAATAATAATTAATCATTTAATTAAAATGATAATAAATTATTCAATTATAAATCATTTTTCTTAAGTAATAACATATTGTTCAATTAGAATAATAAAATGATAAATTATTTAATTAGAATAATAAGAATTATTTTTTTAATAATAATAAATCATTCTTCTTAAATGATTTAGTTAGATCAGATCAATTAAATTAAAATTTAAATTAGATTAAATTATTATTTAATTTAACCTAATTCTCTCAATTTAAATTACTTGATTAATCTGCTTAAACTAATCTATTTAGAGTTTTAGATTTATTATTTATCATCAGATTAGGTCTAATATATATTTTTTATAAATAATAATTAATATAATATAAATATAATATAATGATTTTATATAACTTATTTTACTTTTATTTAAATTATAAATTAAATATTAAAAATTTAGAATTCTTTTATAAATTTCAAATTATTAATAAAGAAATCAATTTAAAATTTCTACAGATTATTTTTTCTTTAATATTATTTTCTATCTAAAATTTGATTTTAATATACTATCCTAAATTTGCTTTTAAACTTATCATTAAATTTATTAAATAAATCTTGCAATAAAAAGAAAGGAAACTGCCAAAAAAATTTTTTTAAATTAATATTAAATCTGAATTTATTTTACTAAAAAAATAATATTTAGCTTATAAAGTAAAAAAATTTTTTGGAAGTTTTCTTCATTTTTACTATAAAGCATCCATATAAATAATAGTATTGATTTAAAAAAAATTATATAGAATTTTTTAAGATAGATATTAAAAATAGAGTTAGTGACAATTAAGGTTACTTGTTTAAACTCATTTTAAATTTTTGCAAAATATCTAAATTATAGTTTTACTAATTTTTTACTAAGGTTTTGATATAATTTTTCTATTTTATAAACTTTAATATAGTTTTACCTTTTTCAAAATTTCGCAGATTTTTTAATAAGGTTTTAATATAATTTCTCTAAAATTTATCTTTTTCTATTTAAATAACTTGTAAAATCTTTAGATTTCATTTAATAATCTTAGTAATATAATATTAAATAAATTAATGTATTATTTTAAAAAATAAAATTTAAAGAATATTATTAAAATATATAATATCTTTAAGATAATTATAATGTTTATAAACTTATTAATAATTATTATTTAAATAACTATTTTAAATAATATTAAAATATAATAAATATATATAATATACATTATTACTGAGTTTAATTTTAATATTCTTAAGTTTAAATTTAAGTATTATAGTAATTTATCTTATTTATCAGAATTTATAATTTTAAAATTTTCTCTAGTTTTACAGATATTCATTATACTTAAATTAATTTTGCAACTTATACATTTAAAAATTAAGATTTATTTAGTTAAATTTAATGACAAATTTTAAAGCAAGTTAATGTAGGTATTACAATTAAATTCTAGATAAAAAATAATGTTAAAAGTATAAATAATTTTATAAGTTTTAATTAATTCTTTTATTTATAACTTGAAACTAGTAAAAGAATTTTAAGCTCTTAAAACTTTTAAACTTCCTAATTTAATTTTAGCAAAAAGTGATACATTTTATATAAAAACTATTCTACTATGATTAATTATATATTAAGCTATAAATTAATTAAATAAAAATATTTGTTATAAAATTAAAATAAATATTATAATAATAAAAATAATTAAAAATAATTAAAAAAAATTAAAGAAATTATAGAAGAAATAGAAAAATAAGCTATAAAAATTATAGGAAAATAGAAGAAAAAGATAAATCAAAAGTATTAGTTTTGATTTTTCTGATATAAGAATAATATAATCTATTTTTAAATAATTGATTTATATTAAATTAAATCTACTAAATTTTTGCAAATCATTTTTTAATAATATTTTTTAATATTAATAATTCTTTTACTTAAATTTCAAACATTATAATAAAATAATAATTTTATTTTTAAAATTGAATTTTAAAAATTGCAAAAAAATTTATCAAAAATCTTGCTGTATTTAAATATGATATATTAAAAAAGTTTATTTATCTATTTGAATCTGAAAATTTTAATCTTCAAATAAAATATCTTTTAATAATTATTTGCAAAAATAACTTTAAAAAAAGTAGAACATATAAAAGTTTTTTGTTTTCATCAAAAAGAAAAAGGTTAAAAATAAATTATAAAT